TCCAAAACATAGTGTTCATGCTCTTTGTCCTTGTGGGCTTTATTATTTTTATTGCAGTGAAATATACAGAAGATAAAATTTACCATTATAGCCATTTTTAATTGTACTGTTCAGTGGCACTAAGCACATTACTTTTGTGCAACCATCACCAACCATCTCCAGAACTTTTTCATCTGTCCAAATGGAAACTCTGTAGGCATGAAACAAGTCTCTACCTGTCCCTCCCCCAGCCTCTGGCATCTGCCATTCTTTCTGTTTTTATGAATCTAAATATTTTAGGGCCCTCTTGAGTTGACTCATACAGTATCTTTTTTGAATTGGCTCATTTCACTGAGCATATTGTTCTCAAGTTTCATCCATGTTGTACATGTGTCAGAATTCCCTTCCCTTTTTTTTAAGGCTGAATAATATTCCATTTTATGTATGGACCACGTCTTATTTATCTATTCATCCACTGATGAACACTGGAGCTATTTCCACCTCTTGGCTATTGTGAATAGACTGCCATGAACCTGAGTGTACAACTATCTGTTCATGTCTCTGCTTTCAATTCTTTGTGGTATATACCCAGAAGTGGAACTGAGGGATCCTATCGTAATTCCATTTTTAATTTTTTGTGGAACTGCCACACTGTTTTCCACAGTGGCTGCAACATTTTACATTCCCTTGTAAATTTTTTTTTCTCATTTTAAAAATTCCTTCCCTGTTCATTAGTTCAAGGTGGAGTCCGAGTAACTGTATGTGTCAAAACTGACACCTTTACCTGGAAGCCTTAAGTCTTAGTGCATTAACAGTAAAGGAAACTCCTTAGGGTCTGCACCCCTCCACGGTGCTGCTATGTGGAGCACGTGGGAGGGCTGTAATCGGTGATGTCTGCTGAGACACTGCGAGGGAGGTCCTGAGGAGACAAGTGTCGTGAAAGCATTCTGCTGGTGGCTGGCACAAAGGTACGACCATGTGTGAGACAGGGCTAAGCTGGGGGTCAGCAGACAGGTGAACTGGGGTTCACTGCACTGGCGCCTTGGTCTCGCACAGTGGTGACCACACAGATGTCACATGTGTGCTGGCACCCAGGCGAGCAACACAGCTCAGGGTGCAGCACCACTTGGGAGCCAGGCTTACTTCTGCCCTTGCCAGTGACCCCAAGACAAGGTGCAGTTTCCTTTCTCAAAGCACAGGCCACACCTTCTTAGCTGACGGGGCCTGCCTTCCTGACCAGCAGCCAGCAGCACCTATGTCCTCGATGCGCCAGTGGGAGGAAGCACAAGACCTCCTCTCTGGTTCAGCACTGAGCAGAGCGTGTAGCAGACGCTAACCCAGGAATGGTCCTGGGGCTGGTTTCTGGCTGGAGGGCAGCCCTGTGTCACATGTGAGATCAGATCCCACAACCCAGAAGGTCCTTCCTGTTGGTGGGACCACACAGACCACACCTCCTTCTCTGGGCTGAGACCACCTGGGCCTCCCTCAGTGTGGGTGGATGTTCAAAGTCATGGATGTCCAGGCTGACCACCAATTTCCCCATAAACACCAGCCCTGTCCCCATGGTGCAGACACTAGGACGAAGGCCCACAAACCTCTGTGCCATGATGAGTGTCCTGCTGGGCCCAGCACAGGGCCCAGAGCTCAAGTTCCTCATAGGAGCCCCAGCTAGCTGGCTGGAATGGCCCCAGGAGCCTCTGGCCTCTGTCTGTTCACTGCTCACTCACCTTTTCACTTAGCAAGCCCTCCCTGGGGCTCCGAGGGCTACGTGTTGAGCAGTGGACACACACTTTAAGGCCTTTGTGGAATACGCTGAAGTGAACCACAAAGCTAACGGGGGCCCATCTTGTCCTAGAAAGGCCAGAGAAGACGGATGCAGACCCAGGCCGCCCCGGGCCACCCGCGAGGTCGCATGTTCTGCATGTTGTGGGAGCCACCTGGGGAGAACCATCTGCTGTGTTCAGTGACCCTGCTTCAAAAACTGCATGCCTCATGAGAATCTCATGGCTTCTAAGATCTGCCACCAAATGGCTGATGTGCTGAATGGTGCCTGTGCTCGATCGGCCTTCCCTAAGACCCACCACTGCCCTGGTAGCCGCAGCCCCCATCATTGTGTGCATACATCCTGGCCTCACACGCCTGGCCAGATCAAGGTAGACAGTCGCTCCCAAAGAACAGCAGCCCATGGCATCTGACCTAGAAAATGCACGTCTGTGCACGTATCTGCACACGTATGTGTCAGGTGCTGGTTCCATGCCATGCCTTGTGGACACTCATGACTGGGTGGCAGACACCCTGCTGCAGGTGCAGGTGTTATCTCTGGCCCTGTCCCCTCTCTGCCTGGCCTAGGACTTGTGCCAGCTTTACAGGCACCGTCTGGTTGGCAAGACCATGGCCCTGAGTCCTCCCCCAAGGAGGCCAGGCCTGGGACCAGACAAACCTGATGCATGGCTTTTGGGATCCCTTGGCAGAATGTGGCCCCACGCTTGGCCCCAGGCAGCCACCAGCACCTGGCTACTCATGCTGGTCGAACCTCTGATTCTTTGAGGTGGCTCAAGGCCAAGTCAGTTCGCAGTACCTTGGTGGCCTGGGGCTAAGCCGATGCAGGCCTGAGTCACCATGCTCCTCCCTATTCTCAGGAGCCAGAGCCCTGCTCTGGGACCCTCCAGTCTCTTCCCCACTCACAACAGACAGCCTGAGTCCCCTGGGATGGCTACCCCTCCAGGCCACAACATGGCTGAAAGCAAACGCAGTTAAGCACAC